CCCACTCTTTTTCGTTTCCTCCCTTTTCCGCGCGGTCAACGCAGTGATCGGTTCCTACGTTTGTTCATTATCGCTTCGGTCTTAATGAGCGACAACGAGTCGAGGCGTGTCAACATCCTCGAGTTCTGGTTCGAATTAGCTCAATGTTTGCTCACAATCTCTCGTGATCGACACACCCTGAGCACAGTGTTACGGGCGATTTTTTCATCTAAAGTGAGTTATCATTTATATACATTCGTTGCATGCATTTTCCCTTGGGGTTAATTTATGGTAATCGTTTCCATCAGATAGTCGCAGATGACCACTTCGACTACGCTTTTCTTTTAGGACACTAAGTTTTCTGGAGGAAGTTTGAATTTCTATAGCCAATAGCCTTACGCTTTCTTGCGCCGGTTTTCTTTGCTGTCTTTTGGCTTCCCATTTAGACGAACATGAGTAACACGTGAAGGTCTATCACTTGCTCCAGTGGGCGACCATGAACACTTAAAACTCTGGGCCTAATCCCACTATTGCTCGTCCAGTTGCCCCGCGCAATGCTGCGTAGATAGCGGTGTTCGAACACCGACAGTTTATCTTTATCCTGTTTCCTTAATGGCCAAGTTTCTGCACTATAGCAGAACTGGCCAAACTGCTGCAGCATATATCTAACCCGTCACGACGACCGGATGTCGCGGAGCCGCCACGGATGTCTCAAATTAGCAAGTACCAACCGAGCCTTCTGTATGCGATCTGACACTTTATCCGTGATGCGTCCACCGGGTGAGATGTAACTGCCCTAAAAGGAAAACTTGTTCACTTGCTCTATCACATCCTCAGTGAGGTTGGGTACTGGACCAAACCAGTCTTGTAGCAACATTGAATGTGCAAAACGCATACCGAACGCGGCTGCTGGGGAGGAAGACAGCTATGGTTAAAAAAATTGATGCTGACCTACATCACTTGACCACCACTGTGTTAAAAATGTTAACATTTGTTATTGTTCCTTCGCTTTTTGTGGTCCACACCTCACAAAGGGTAGAGTTACCAATCAAAAGTTTGTGGATTCTATTGTCACCAGACGAGTGAGATAGCTCGATTTTGGTATGTGCTGTGCCCTCCGAAGAGTAATTTTTCAGAACCGGCTGGCCCCTGTCCTTGTGATTACCATTACTGTTGATCCGTTAGAAGTCATCGATAGACTTGGTGTACATTGTAAATAAATAAAGAAACTGACGGTGGTCTCAGATAAGAGATCATATTATAGCCAACCGGTCGTACGTGTATTTCCATCAAGTCTCCTCTCTGTGAAGGAAGAGGTGTACACTCACTGCTTAAAAGTGTCTTTCTGTCTGTCTGTATGTATTTATGGATGTTTGATAGCTGTGTTCGTTTGATGGAAAAGTGTTTAACTTTGCGCACATGTTTGTTTTTCTCTATCGGCAATGGCGTTTACAGGTTTAGGATGGCATAATATTCGGTTTGTGAAATTATGTCCGAAATTTCCACTTGTTTCGCGGTTCTGGTCAGTCACGAGCTGTGCGCATGCTGTACCGTAGTGTCAAAGGATCTCTGCTTCTATCCTATCCCATTTTCTCCATAGGAATCGCAAGAAACGATTTTGAAAAAAACCGTCTCTAAAAAACATCACTGATCTAAGTTAATATATTAGTTTCATACTCAACACTTGTTCTAAGAAGTGAATGAGAGAGATGTGAGTTGTCAACACATCTTGTGAGCGAAATGCATTGTGATCAGTATTGAATTTGTAGGATTTCATTGTGAGGGTGTCCATTGGAAGGAGTACAATTTCTTCTGTGGTGATTAACTGTGACGAGAAACGATCGAATTTCCTTTAACTTAACTAGAATAGATCGCCGGGGAACGATAGATAGTAATAGGAGAAATGCACCGATACACAATGGAAGAAATAACATTTTTGTGTGGTAAATATGCGTAACTTACGATTATGAGCCATGTCAGGGAACATCTAACTTGCCCTGAAAATTCCCACAAAAGCCAGTGGAAAATGTATGTAGACCAATCGCCGCCTTGGGAAATTACCGGCTTTCTCGATGTTACTAGATGGGTCTAAGAACCTTAGAATTGTTTACTCAAGGAAAACAGCTTCTACCCATCAACATGCGTTGATTGTGGAATTCCTTTGACCAACATTAACCTGTAATCTATGGAAAGGAGATAATCGAGAGATCTATCCAAAGTGAGATGAACGATGAAGAACGACCAGAAAACTTCACCGAGTAGTCAAGTATACTTCACCTATGCACAGTTTATTCTTCGATTATAGGGGTTACCACTTGGCTATCGAGCATACATGTAGTTCCGCTCTTTGTCGTTCCTTGCCTGTTGCATTTCCGATTTCGTGGTCTCTCGCTCTACCGGTCTGTCACAGTCATACATAGTGCTTTGTTGGGGAAACCATTCTCTGCGAATGAATGACTGAATCTGGCCAAGCAGGTTTAAATTGACCTGCAGGGAAGGTCTGATCTGGTGACGCCGGTGGCATACTGTGTTTCCCTTCGAGGCTATCAGGTCAGCAGCTGTTTACTCATCTCTGAAGACGACTGTTAAACTAACTTGTAGCGATGATTCCAGTTAGTGCCACCTTGAGCTGTTTGGCATATTGAAACGGCTTATGTTTTTCATGCCGAGTCCTCGGTCTAAATCCCAACTGAGTCTATCGACGCCCTACTGATGAACCCTAGCAAAAGAGAAACTCCAGTTCATTTCTTCCTCAGTGGTGGTTGACTAAATGAACTGGTCATTGAGCTTGAAAATCAAGTATGAAGGTTAACCGGTCAAAATAGAGATTAAGTGTGTTATGTGAATCGATAAGGCTAGATGAGGTGGTTCAATTATTTTGTTCTTCCAGTTAATTAGATTATCGTTTGTCTTGTTTCATAGAACTCTAAGCTCTATTACATCCGCATCGTTGTTTTCCGAGTAAAATTCACCACAGATTTCTGTATTGAATCATCGACCAACATTTGTTCGCTTCCGAATTCATTCACAATAACTCTGCTGACTCGTTCCTTTTCGGTTAAACGTTTTTGATTTCATTTGTTTCGTTTTCAGTGGGTGGGTTTCGCACAAAGCTTGAGCTCCCCTAACTGTGGGTGGCAGGTATCACGGTGACGGCGCATCTGCATTTTAATGTGAGCACACCAATCTTCACCATTTCTTATAAATAAATACTCATCGAATTTGTCTGCACATTGGCTTACTCATAATCGGTCGTTTAGTCTGACTGGACGGAGGCACTGGCACACATAGAAGTCACGTGGCTTCATCAAACGCTTGGTTCATGTGATTTCTACAGCATCGCCTCTTTCTTTTCTGTCTATTCACCTACAGATCCCTAAAACAGTTTGGCAGGCTGCCATCACTGGTTCGAATGCAAAAACTGCGATGGCGCAGGAGTTGTCCGCGTGCCATCGTGCTTTGGGTGGTGAAATACAACCTGAGAGACACGGTTTAGCACCTGCGAGCACTTCCGTCTCTTGTTCACCAGTTGCCTCTGTCGCTCAGTTATCTGTCAATCCATTTGATTTCCGCAATCAAATCCCGAACTTGAATCCACTTCTAACCGGTTCACTGACCGAGCCACGTGGGAGCACAGTTAATTCATCCTCGGGTAACGGACCGATTCAAGATCAAAGACTACCTACACCCGCCCGTCCGACCGAGGCCATGCAGACCTACTTGGTTAAAGAATTATGGATGTGGGAGCTGCATTCTACGATGCAAGATGTGGTGAGTGCTTTGTTTGTGTATACACCAAAAATTTCGTGAGTAATGTGGTGCGTTTGGTCACCTACACTCCGTGAATGAAAAATGCCCATTGGCACATTGAAAGCAAAGTCCGGTTTGCGAAACTAGCTGTCCGACAAATTCATCAACGGGTCATCAACATTATTTTTGTTTCGTCGATCTGGTTTTGATCGCATCAAACTAAGTACGGAAGATATGCTAAGATTGTTTACCTGATGCCGATTTCGATTAGTGCATTGATACGTCCCCCGGGGATGGGGTCGAGTTCTTCGTCCGAGGCCACGGCAAGGCTAGAGCCTGAACGAACTGCTTTTGGTTGTACAGGAGGAATCCAACGTTTGGATAAACAGCGCCTCGGCTGTGTATAGAATGATAAACCGAAGACGTTTCGGCAGAGACGATGGCGTGTGGTAGATGGCGCGGAAAGCCTGATCAACGTTGATAGTATGACGTGTTTTCAGTATATGTTGACAGGTAGCACTTTTCGCCGCCCTAGTTTCACCGTATCTCAACCAGCGGAGGTGGTATTCGCGTATTCTCTTCGATAGCTGCCTCGTAGTTCGCTCCACAGGGGCAAGTGAACTCGTAAAGGCACATGGATGCGGCTTGAGGGGGCAGTTTATCTTTGAGGTAGAACCTCAAACCCCTAACCTTCAGGATCTGTATCCGTCGTTTTGACCAGTAACTTCAAGAGCACCACATGGTATTTTATACCTTATCGTATCGTACGAAGTTAGACAGTGCTCTGTAAGTTTTGAGCCTCCTGTTGATAT